AAACATGGACAAGTCATTTCTCTTCCCTTTGCCTCAGTTTTCCCCTCTGGAAAATGGAAAATGTCAACTGTGAACTCAAAGATCTCTAAGATTCCTTCCAGCTCTGACATTTTTGGGTACTGTATTACACTTCCTAATGGCACAGTCTGTACTTATTCGAACTGGTGCCTCTGGACTGAGTCCTTCATTCTGCCCTCGTCCCCACGGTTTGGAAGAAGTATAGTTAAACACTTATATCCCTTATCAGAATCATGATTTTAAATGCATGAAATAAAACACAGGATTTCAAATGAAACCATTTATATTAAAATGCAGGTATCAAAATGTAAAAAAACAAAAAGTTCATGAAGCTCATGTTGACCCCCCCAAGGATGCTCAATGGTTTTGATGTACGGGTAGGAGCCATGGCATTGTAAAGCAGCTAATGAGATGGTGTTTTCTTGTGCCAATTCACATACTCCTCCCTCTAACCTAGTGGGGTCTTATATTCTCTACATCTTTCAATGATTTTCAAGATGGTAATTGAATATTGTTTCTGAAAGTCTATTTGTTCCTCCTAATATTTTTAATTCACATATAGATAATGCTCATAAAGATTTTGAATAGATGAGAGAGTAGACATGTAGGCTGGTAGATATTGATGTCCCTTGTCAAGCATTTTTTTTTTCATTTTTGTGATACTAAAAGGGTCTGAGATTTCCAGCCCCCCCGCCCCCCATTCCTTTGCTATTTTCCCTTCCTTTACCTAGTATGTGAATCAGTCCCTCAATGTCCTCATAACTGCAGTGCTTTCAACATGGATCTCTTCTCTTTATATTTGATGCAGTTTGGCTATTTTGCACATCTCTGTTCTCTTTAGTGCCAATTCTCCTATCAACACAAGTATCTCAGGGATTGTGATGTTACGTTGCAAGTGTGGTGGTTCCATTATCTTTGACAGACAAAAATTGGCTGAGATGGGGGGTGCTTTTGCAAATGATTTCCTTTTTTTCTTCAGTTTGTAGTTCTCTTTCTATTTTTATCCTTGAATGCTCTTGGGATGAGCTTATTTAGTTGAATATCTTGCCAAGCTTTCTTTAGTTGTTTTTTTTTAAAACTCTCATTTCTTCTTTCTGATTGTGAGATGATGCTAGTCATAATTATTCATCCTCATAAGGTTTCAGAAACAAGTTTATAGTCTAATATGTTGTTGCCTTTTGTAACCCTCTCACTCTTCATCCAGCAAATAACTCAGGTGTTTGCTAAGTAGTCCTTTTTGATTGCCTTATTTAGGTAGGTAAGTTACATCGGCTTAAGTTCTGGGTGAAAGTATAGTCGATGTTAATGTCAACTCTGTTGGCCGCTTCTCAAGTTTTTGGTTTTTTTTAATAAATTGTTTAAATAAATCAAGATTAAATCTTATTTGCCCATCATATCTTTTTCTCATTGCTCATTTTATTTTTTATTTTTTTTTTATTTATTTCTACAAATTCTGGTCTTTAGTACTGATGAATAGATGGTCACTCTATACAGAAAGTTGGGTGAATTAGAGATAACTCACATATTAGTAATATGTCTTTTTGGGTCTGTTAAAAATGGAGTCAATTTCATTCTTTTGAGTATTATTTGATGCTCTACAGTCAAGCTCCTAATGATTCATTTTCTTTTGGGGGGGAAATTTCATTTTTTCCCAATTATATCTAACAATTCATTTTCTAAAGAACACATTCATAATATAGAGATGTGAAATTTCTATGTAGTCTGTATGTCTGTAGTCTCTCTCATTCCTTTCTCCTGAGTCATACTTTTACATATGTTTCTCCCCATTCTCACCTATCCCAGGAAATCACCAAGCATCAAGAGTATATGTTAATTTTATTTGGAAATTTTTACTAATGTTGAATCAATTCTACATTTTTGTATAAATCCAACTTGGTCATTGTGTGTGCTCATTTTATTATGTTATAGCAACCTTTCTGCCAATATTCAATATTTTTGCCCTTGTATTCATAAAGATATTTTCTATACCCTTTTATTCTCTGCTTTATCTCTCCCTGGTTTAGCTACTGGGAGCACATGAGTCTCATAGAAAGAATTTGTTTCTAACATTTCTTTTCATTCTATCCTTTTTTTTCCAAATGATTTCTGTAAAATGGAAATTAATTTTTATTTAGTTTTTTGAATTCACTTTTAAATCTTTCTGAATCTCTTTTTTCTTTTCTTTTCCCCCTTTGGGAGTACTATTATGACTTGTTCAGTTTCTTTTTTGTGATATCAGTTTATTTAAAGTCTATATTTCTTGTTCTGTTAATTTGGGCCTTTTATTTTTTGTAACCATTCATCCATTTCATTTCATTTTCATTTTCAGTTTTATTAGCATATAATTGTACGAAGGATCAACTTTCTTCAGAGTAATTCCTATTCAACTCCCATAACCTTCAAATTTATTGTGTGTCAGCCACTCACTGGAGAATTCACATTCTTCACTCAAAATTGCTGTAATTACTGGCTGACAAAAAAGTTCTCCACTTCCCATTTCCCCTACTTGCTCTTCCAGTTCCAGTTTTTACCTTCATCATGTATGCCTTGATTTCTCAGTATTTTCTCTGTCACATTCACTTCCCTCCCTATCCAATCATGATTATTCCCTGTGCCTGGAATGAACTCATAACATCACAGATAGTTTTCATTATTAGGAAGTTTCCTCTAGCTTGCCAGTATCCTGAGACAATTTCATAGCTTCTCATCCCCTCATCTCCAGCTGATCCAGTCTCTCCCATCTTTCAAGGCTCAACTCACATGTCACCTATTTCAGGGAAACTTTCTTGAGTGTCCCTGTTCCCCTAGGTGAATATGGCCTCTCCCTTCTCAGATTTCCCATAGCACCTTGTGGGACCTTCTGCTTTGCACTGTCCCCATTTCTTCTTCCATCAAATTCCATTCGGAGTGTGTTTGTCTCCATTATTAGAAGATAAGCTTCTTAAGCCAAAGACTCTGGTCAGGTTCAATCTTTACATGAGGCTTTTCCTTTTCCTTTTCCCTTAGTATTTTCCCTTGAAATCATTTTGGGTTTACTTCATTTAGATGGTGTATTTGCTTCTCTGTGTACATGTTTCCCCAGAGTAGAATGTAACCTCTTTGAGGACAGGAACAGTTAACATTTTTCTAGCATAGTGCCTGGCACACACGTATCACTTAGTAAATACTTGTTGAATGGAATTAGTAAAAGAATAATTATTTTGTAAATCAAATGGAAGCACCAAAGACACTCATGGATCAGACATCCCTTTGATCTTCGTATGGCAGATGTAATCTCTCTTTTAAATCAGGGAATAACTCCTGACCTTGTAAGAGATTTTGAAGAGAGTCTCTAGACAAAAGATACTTGGAAGAATTAACCTCAGGTCATTGCTGCTATTACTTGGTGACTGGAAAGGGATACAAGCTGGGGTTTTGGCAGAGGAATCAATGGCAGAGCTGTGAAGGCCCAGGGAAACCTTTCCCATGACCCATGCCCCCTCCTCTTTCAAAATAGGTTTGACTATTGGTAAAGTGATTAACCATTTAGTGTGTGACAACATGCAGGAGCTTGCCTCTTTATACTATCTGCTGGTTCAAGAACTCAGTGAAGGCCAGGATAATTCAACCAAGGATTCCCCTCATCTTTTATGTGAATGAGATATTTTAAAGTTGTTCCTCCTCACCCCAGAGCCTTGAACTCACCATGCAGAGGAAAAAGTGGTTAAGAGAAGAGTCTCTAGTAGAAGAATAATGACCACAAAGCCCCAGGAGAGGTGGTGGCTGCTTATAATCAGGCTACCAGCCTGGAATGAATAGGCTAGGCTTCATGTCAACATTGACCATTTGGGGATAAGTGACTGAGATCACCAGTGTTAAAGTCTGCCAATCAATAGGCTTCAGTAAATGTCCTGAGTGAGTCAGTGAACTACGGGCAGGGTTCCAGACTCAAATTCTGAGATTTTCTTTTCTGATTTGGGACAAGATGGCTAAATGTGGGAAAGGGAACTAGAGTTGGAAGGGATCTTAGAGGGAAAGAAACTGAGTTTCAGCCCAGTGAGGTTAAAGAAGCCCTAAGGTTATATAAGAGTGGGGCTGTGACAGTCCAGGCTTAGTTCTTTTTCATTTTTTTTATTTTTATAAATTTGGCTCTTTGTGCTGATGAATAGATGGCCTCTCCCACTAAGTCACATGGTCAATGAGCCTCTAGGTTTCCTCAAGAGACCTTTACATGTATACCATGGGCTAACAGGAGTAGAAGGGACTGTGTCATTTTTTCTGTTTCTAAGAATGTTTAGCACAGTGATGAGCTCAACCATTCATAAACACTAACCAAATTAAATGGAATTGTTCCTGCAATTCCTGTGTTTCAGACTGGCCTTCCGCCATCATTATCCTACATTAGAAAGATTTGTTGTTTTTCCTATTAGTGTCTTTCACAGACCCTGAAAACTGCTCAAAGGCATCTTTACCCAGACATCCTCTGCCACCAATTACACTTCCCTCACCCCTCACATACACATGCAAACACATTCCATAACAGAAATGAGGGGCTCTTTCTCCATATCACAATCCACCTGCAGTTCACTGGGGCCACTGTACCACACTCCACTGGCTCTCATGGGACCTTATCTTTTATCATCACTTCTAACCTCATACTCCACATGGGTGGAAATGCCCACTTCAAGAAGGCAAAGCTAAACTGTTCAGCAGTTAGGAAGAACCTACTGTGTGTGGAACTCTGTGCCAGGCACTGAGGGCAACATGCGTGTTTCTTCCTGGAGGTTACAGTCTAGCCAAACAAAAACAAATGAGAAGATGCATCTTCGGGACCAGTGGCCCAGGAATTGCTTTGATTCTTTATGTTATCTTGTATGGAATCTAAGACACAAGCTATCCCCCAAGCCACATCAGATTTGCCCCACCCAGTGAAGGTTGATCTTGTGAGCATACTTGGACTCGGATTTCATTTTTCACCTGTCTGTTTTCTGCCTGTTTCCCAGGACAGTCCACTGGTCTTACAGTCTGACAGAAATGTTACGCTGAATGCCCGGAATGCCCTGGGGCAACTCACTGGCCAGCTGACTGTAGGTGAGTGCCATCGGACCCATGAAGACCTTCCTCTCTGGCTTTTTTCCCACCTTTCTAGAATGTTGGCTTAAATCAGGAAAAAAAAAATACCAAATGGGACAGGCATGCTGTGTCCCAGATTTGTGATTCAGGTAAAGGAGACTTTTATGGATGGCATGTGACCAAATTGGGAATTACTTCACCATTAAAAATTCCTCCTTTCTGTGATAATTGTAATGATGATGATAATAACTGGCATTTATATAGCATTTTAAGGCTTGCAATACACTTTGCAAATATTATTTGATTTGATCCCCACTACAACCCTGGGAGGTGAGTACTATTATTCCCATTTTACAGGTGAAGAAACTGAGGTGGGCAGAGGCAAAGTGACTTGCCCATGCTCCTAAAGCTAGTGTCTAAGGTTACATTTGAACTCAGGTCTTCTTGACTACAAGTCCAGAACTCTATCTATTGTACCAATTCATTGACTTTAAATAGGTGCATTATCTTCTCCATTTACAAATGAGGAAATTGGGGCTGACAAAAGTGAAGTGACTTGCTAAGAGACACACAGCTAGGAAGGTCAAATTCCAACTCAGGCCCTCCTGATCGTCGGTCCAGAGCTCCAACCACTGTGTCACCCATGAGCTACGGTGTGGTGAAAGAAGAGATGGTAGGAGGCACAGTGTTAGCTAACATATCCTCAAAACCACCAGTCTACCACACAACCACCAGTCTACCACACGACACTAGACATTCGCCAGACCAGCCTGGCACACAGCACAGCACAAGGAGAAGGCAGCAGAGTCAGGGGATAGACTCTATTCCTGAAGTTACCTTTCATGCCTCTGTGAAAGGAGGGAGCTCAGCATTTCCTAAAGTCAAGGAAGTCTTGGATTCCCATAAAAAACAACTCTGAAAGACTCAATGAAAAATATTTTTGTTACAATAATTTTAGGGGGCCTCGTTATAGGAAATGGATTGACTTCTTCCAAAAGTCTAATCAGATTTCCCTTTGGGGACTCCTGGGGCCAAGAAAATTCCCCCTTTGATAGGGAACCTTTCCTCCTCCCTCCCCCTCACCCTTAATGCAAATCTTTTCCTTCTGTGGATCACCTCTTATTTATCCTGTCTATGGCTTCTCTGTATAGAGTTTTTTACATGTTGTCTCCCCATTAGACTGTGAGTGCCTTCAGAATAAGGATGACCTTTTGCCTTTCTTTGACTACCCAGTGCTTAGCACAGTGCCTGGCACATGGTAGGTGCTCAATATGACCGGGTGATTTAAAAGGCTTATTGCTTGCCTTTTAGAGGAAAATGTTAAACAAATTTAGAAAAAGAAAAATTATTGTTATTGAAATATAGCTAGCCACTGAACTCTCTCAGAATGAGGCCAGCTACATCCACCATATTGATTCCAGGGGCACCCTTGATGGGTTGGCTGGGTCTCTCTAACTTTTTTGACTTGAGGCCCCGTTCTAGTGTGTTCTCCCACTGTTAACTACCAATGACCCAGTATCGTCTAATAACTTACCATCAATTAGCTTCTAGTGATGAATCTTTACTAAGAAGATTTAGTGAAAACACCTGGGAACACAGTCTCCCCAATATACCATAAAGGTCCCTGAGGAAAGTGATCTCAAACTTTCCCAGGAAAAACTTTCTATGTAGAATTTCCCCTTTCAAGTTCACTTCCAAAAGTGGCATAGCCAATGGATGGAGGAATGCATACACTTCTCTATTCATACTGCACTGGCTCTAATGAGTTACTCTTCAGGGGCTAAGCTGTTGCATCATCCACTCTCACCTTGCTGCAAATCCTGGCATGGAATCCAGCAGCCAGAACCTTTTGTTTTTCGGCCTTAGCTGATATTGCCAACTCATTCTGGAACTGTTTTTAGAGTGCTGTGCTATGGTCTTATGTCCTTCCTCTGTTACCTGCTCTTGCTCCCATCTCCTGGACATACCCTTAAAAACTGGAGTTGTTTGGTGACCTCTTTGTGCATCCACATCCAGCTCTTCAGAAAAAGCTCATTTGTTTTCCTCAGCAGAATTGGATCCTTTTGTGCCTTCATATTGCTATCCCTAAGATTTTCTTCTGTCTCTGACTAACCCTCACTCCTGTAAATGTTTAGCCAATGAAATCTATTTAATAAATTCTTCATTGATTTCCTCTTTCTGTCAAGGTGATTTGTAATATACTCTAATGACAAAATTACTGCTCTTTCTCCCTCACTTAATATTCACCCAGATGCATTCGTGTCTCCCCTCCTCCACTACATTTTCTCACATGAATGTGGAAACAGTTGTTGACTTGAATATAAGTTCTTAAAGCATAGTGCTATGCCACCTGAACTTTACTTGGCTTGACTTGACAACTTGTTGTGGATCCAACTTTGTCTGAATGAGATATACATATCAGGAACCATATTCCAATGGGTTCTATATGAGGGGGTGTGCTGGTAAATGTTTAACCACTGGCACACCAAGGAAAAAACATGTAAGCACAACACTCTTTTAAGTTTAATTAACACTATTAACATTTTCTCCATTACTATCATAAAACAACAACAGTAATAGTAATAGCTAGCAATTATATAGTAGTGCCTACTCTCTGTTTGGCACTGTGCTCAGTGCTTTTACAAATATCTCATTTGATACAACCCTGCAAGGTAGGTGCTATTATTATCCCCATTTTATAGTTGAGGAAATTGAGACAAACAGATGGTTTAAAGATGAACTTTGAGTTCATCTTCCTTGATGTCTAAATTTGGGTCATCTCTGAATATGAATTTGAGATCAATAGTTAATGTCTCCTTTTCTGGGTTTGGAGTCTTATGGATTCCTCAGTGTCCCAATCACTAGGGTTCTTTCACCACAGCTTCTCTCTACAACATACTTGATTGGAGATTAGATGTAGGAAGTTTTCTCCTTCCCATACCCATTTTAGTTTAAGCCCTTTTTGATAGATTGGTGATACATTAAGCAAATATACTCTTACCAGCTTTTGTTAGGGTACAATTCACCCCTTGCCAAGAGCAAGTCATTTTTGGTTGTAAGTCCCAGTCCAGACCTTCTAGTCCCATTTTCAAACCATCTTCGTAGTCATGTCTTCACTTCCCAACCTGTTTTTCTCTCTGTAATCTTTGCCTTCAATAAGCAGAAGTGAAAAACACTACCTATGCCCCTCCTCCAAAGTCTTTATTTTCTTTTCCAAACCTTCTTAATTTTTTTTCAATTTTTCCCAGATCCCTTCTCTCAGCATCATCTGCACTCTCACTGACACAGCTGAAGTGAGGAGTCATCATCTGTTCTGGTAGCTCTTAGACTTTCCTCACTATTGATGTTAATGGGTATATAAGGTACTGCTTGAGCTCCCTAAGGAGGGAGTCACTATTCACCAATATTTTTTTCTTCTCCTGACCCTTACTCAGTAACCTCTCACCTACCCATTCCAACCTATGGCTCTGCTCCATCATTCCTTGGAGTGCAAGCAACTGCTTCCTTCTCAGAGTCTATAACTCTTTTCCCTTTGGAAAAGGCCCTATTCTTATTAATATGCCAATACTCCACTGGTTTTTCCTTCCCTTTCTTGCCTATGTGACATTCTACCACTTTCCACCCTCCTGAAAAAAGACAGATTCCCTCCTCCCATTTCCAATACTTTGAGGAGAAGGGGAATCTTTTTTCCCTATCATAGCCCCATTTCCTTTTTTTTGTTTGTTTGTTTGAGGAGGGGGAACACATTATTATCTTTGTTAATTTGGGGTCTTAAAATTTCCTCTTCAGCACTCTTCACCTTTTTTCCTAGGAGGGAGACCAAGCAACATTTGGAGAATTTACAGGAGTTACCTGACAATGACAAAACTGTAGACTTTGCACACCAAACATGAATGTGCTAAACACACATCACTTATGGTGAATGAATGAGGCTTCTCCATGTTACACATAAACACAACACATATACACACCACTGAAGACAGATGGATGAGATGTCTCCATACTACAAGCACACGAATACACACTGTATATTCTAGTTTGGACAATAGGCATCATGCATCCACTTAGCTTCAAGAAGGTATCAAGATCTAAGTTTAAGAAAAGAGAGAAACTCAACTATGCAAAGAATGCAAAGGGTCTGTGAGGTCAAAAGAAGACAAAAATGCAGCTGGATGGAAAAGAAGAGGTAAAATTACAGTCCTTGATGCATATACAAAGGAAGTGAGAAGGCAATGAAGAAAAGAAAGATCTGGGAAATACCTAGACTACACCAAATATGGACAGAGGATATGCATATTGCAGGTGACACACCTGGGAGGTACTTGAATGACCAATTCTTAAGTCATCTTAAAAACAATAGGCTATAAAAGGGGGAGGGGCAGAAAATCTTAGAATGCTTACTGAAAAAAACAAACTGAGACCGTACCAAAAACTAAGTTCATTTTGAAGACAGATTATTCCATTTGTTTGTATATCCCCAGTTCCTGGCATCCCATAGGCACCTAATCAATATTCGGCAGTTGGCTGAGTGGCCCATGCACTGCAGGCTTTTGGCAAGATGTTATTTAAAATGTTTTCATTGGTATTTTTTAATATTTGTTTATAGTTCCCTTCCTAATTTAGGTATAAGGACTGTATTCCTCTTGTAAAAGAGTTTAATAAAGCATTTTTTTCAAATTATTTTTGAAAACAATTTATGAATCAGATATTAATTGTCCTTTACACATTTGATGGAATTCTCCAGTAAATCCATCTAGGCCAGGATATCAGGTTTTCCTCTCATAACTCTTTTGCAACTAGTTCAATTTCCTTTCCTCAAATTTGATAATTTAAGATCTCTCTTAATTTGGATCTTTTTATTCATTTATTTGTTTAAGTCAACTTGTGTCTTCATCAAGCATTTATTAAGACCTTACTATGTGCCAGACCTTACTATGTGCCATCATTCTAAGAACTGAGAACACAAAGAAAGGCAAAAATGAGTCTGTTCTTAAAGATCTCCCAGTCCAACTCTGCTC